TGGTCTCCTTCCCTACCTCCATGAACCTCTTTGGCCTAAGTCTACCTTAACATCTTTAACAATTTGTCATGCATGATATTTTTCTTCAATAATATGATTTTCTTTAATCATCAGCATTGCTATACATTGTACCATGTGCTTCCAAATCCATTTTATCATTTGATTTTCATTGTCATTCCTGTTTTGCAAATTGGGAAGCAGGGCTTGGAGAAAGTGAATAACTTTTGAAAGATAACACAAGTAGTAATACAAACTACAAAAATGAATCTGGATGTATGTAGCCAGAGCTCCCTGAATGTGCTCCCCACAAACACTGTGTATTCAACAATTTCATAGATAGCACTATGATGAAAAGCAAACAAATGTCCTCATTTCTTTTTTCTTCTGTTATTCATTGCAGATGACCAGTCCATGGCAAAAGCCTGCTGCAGGTAGTGGAGAGCTCGTGTGGGAGCTTCCTGGGACAGTTCCTCCTTCAGCATTGTGTGCTCACAAGAATGCTTTCCATCCATCCACAGTTCTATCAAAGTCCCTGGATCCTTTATGATATGGATCTGTAGGGGAGGCAAAACCTCCTCACGCTGCAAAGGTCATGGGCATAACTGAGATGGGGTAAGGGGGCTCCTTCGAAAAGAATAATAATTGATGCCAAAATATGTTTACCCTTAAATTTCTTCTTTCAGAATCAATGACATCCGACCTTGTGTCATTAAGAATTAACTTCAGGCTCAGTGCAGTAGCCTAGTGGCTAAAGTCCTCACCTTGCACTCAACAGGTTCCTTTATGGACGCCAGTTCTAATCTCGGAGGCCCAACTTCCCATTCAGCTCTCTGCTTGTGATCTGGGAAAGCAGTCGAGGATGGCCCAAAGGCCTTGGGACCCTGCACCCATGTGGGAGACCAGGAAGAGGCTCGTGGCTTTGGATTGGCTAAACTCCAGCTATTGTGGTCGCTTAGGGTGTGAACCATCAGATGGAAGATCTTCTTCTCTGCCTGTCCTCCTCTCTGTATATCTGATTTTGCAATAAAAATAAATAAATCTTTTAAAAAAGAAAAGAAAAGGAAGCTCACATCCTGGGGCCAGCGCCATGGCATAGCAGGCTAAGCCTCTACCTGTGGTGTAGGCATCTCCTGCGGGGGAAAAAAATTAACCTTTTTTTTTTCATAGGCTAATTTTGCATGCATCAGAATCATAGTCTGCATGAATTCATGTAACTTAAAGGATATTTTTCTGGGGTCTTAAATCACTTAGCTTTCATACAACAGTCAAGCATCTGGATAACTACAATAATGATCAACAGGTGATATTTCATCATCATCTCAAATACTCACCTGATAATGATATTGACTCTATTGGGTCTCATGAAACAGGGTTGTGAGCTTGATTTCTTTAAGAGTTTGAATGTTGGGCCTGGTGTGATAGCTTAGTGGCAAAAGTCCTCACATTGAATGCACTGGGATCCCATATGAGCACTGGTTCTAATCCCGGTAGCCCTGCTTCCTATCCAGCTCCCTGCCTGTGGCCTGGGAGAGCAGTCAAGGACAGCCCAAAGCCTTGGGACCCTGCACCCGTGTGGGAGACCTAGAAGAAGCTCCTGGCTCTTGGCTTTGGATTGGCTCAGCTCCAGCCATTGCAGCCACTTAGGGAATGAATCATTGGATGGAGGATCTTCCTCTCTGTCTCTGCTTCTTTCTGTATATATCTGACTTTGCAATAAAAATAAATAAATCCTTTTTTAAAAGTTTGAATTGTTGACATATCTTTTTATAATCTTCAATGAGTCTGTCTGGTGAGCGCTCTTCTGAGGACAAAGGGGGCACTCAGCATGACTTCTCATTCAGTCTTTTTCTCTGCCCCCAAAATAGCATTTTTATTAAAAGACTGAATATAATCACCTTAGTTTTACTATTCACTTTATTTAAAAGATGCCTTTGAAGAAAACTAGAGCATGCTACACAGTGTTAATAACACAACCATTCATGAGTTTCACAAATATGATGGAAACCCGAAAGTTTACAACTCACCATGTTAACTGTGATAGTTTCAGCTGGGTTCACACGCTTTCTGATTTTCCTCCTAAATCAGGCATATTGACACGCTCTCCGTGTTCCCACTCAGGCCAGATGCTGGCAACTTAAAGCTGAGTTTCTCTCTAGGAATTTTCTGCAGTTACAGGGCTCTGCCTTGCCCAAGGTTAGCCATCTGCAGTGGAAGCCAACAGCAAATCACTTAGTAACACAAGGGCGCAAAAGACTACCCCCTAGACTTCACCTCAGTTGCCAACTCTAGTTCAATAGTGTGGTTGACCGAGGCCATCACTCTTGTGCTAGCTCACTCTCAGCTCACACTTACAACTTCATTCAGGGGCTCCTTATGGCCAACCGACAGAGGAGGAACAAAAGGCTGAGTGGTTTCTAGTAGGGTGGGTTGGCTTGGCATGTGAAGCCAGAGAAGGCATGCTGCTGCTGCGCAGTAACTCCCTGGGGTGGCTCTCAATACAGCAGAGAGAGAAATCCTTCCCAGGAGCATGCCTTAACCAGCGCACCTACTTGCCACTTTGTATACAAAGAAAAATAGCCCAGGGTTAGGACAGGACAGCTGGAATCATTAGGTCATGAGGAGCTGGCTTAGCTAGTTAGTCCAGGACTTAGAAAAAACTGGAAAATGAGGATCAAGAAAATCTGAGGTAGAAGCATGTGTATAAAGAGTTGGAAGTGGGAACTGTCCCCACCTGCAGGACACAACGCTCAAACCCTGAGGGTGGACTGGGAATGCCGGGCTGCTGGCACAAGAAACACATGCACACTCGTACTTGGTGAAAGACAGTGCCCATGTCCTTTATTTTACTCCTCATATATATATACCTTCTTCTTTGGGGGAGGTGGGAGAGGGGTGGGGTTTCCTGGAACTAATTATCTTCATTGAAGCAGGGAAGGAACTAATCATCTATGTTGAAACAGGAGGAACTAATCATCTTCATTGAAACTCAGGGGAGGAATTAATTATTTGAACAGGAACAAGGGTGGAGGTTCTGTTCCGCTGGCTTTGCAGGGATGGTCTGGCTGCAATATTCTGCTTGCTGTGGCCTTGCTTGCCCAAGGTAGGTTTTGCAATGCAGCAGGTTGTCAGGCATGCCAAGTCTAAGGCCTGTAAGTCTGTGACTCCTAACAGGGAACAAGTGTAAAATGCTTATATTCCCTTATTATTGCTTGTCATAGGACATCCAGCATGGAAGAAACACCAACAGCCAAGTGGATTGACTGATGCAGTCATCTGATATTACCCAGATTCTGCCACCAGCCACAGAGCAGAGGTCACCAAGGCTAACCACAGGTGTAACAAGGCCAGTCCACCAGCAAGAGAGAGCAACGGGGAGCCCAGGACGCTGCCACCGCTTTAGGAGACCATCCCACATTTGGCAATACGTCGGGTATCTGGTTTCCTTCCATGACAATGATTCCTTTTCATGGGAGTCAACACATTCCATGCATACAGGTGCCTTTCCTTCTTGGAATGATCTTGGGGCCCCATTGCAGTGGCCTAGCAAGCTAAAGTCCTCACCTTGAAAACGCCCGGGATCCCCTATGCATGGCGGTTCTAATTCCAGCAGCCCTGCTTCCCATCCAGCTCCCTGTGCCTTGGGAAAGCAGTTGAGAACAGCCCAAAGCCTTGGGACCCTGCACCTGCATTGGAAACAGAAGAAATTCCTGGCTCCTGACTTCGGATCGGCACAGCTCTGGCCATTGTGCTCACTTGGGAAGTGAATCATCGGACGGAAGGTCTTCCTCTCTGTCTCTCCTGCTCTCTGTATGTCTGACTTTGCAATAAAAATAAAGAAAGATCTTGGTCAGTAATCTTACTACTGTTAACAAAAACAGCATATATTTTTTATAACTAGCAGACATTGCTTTCCAAAACAAAAATGATAGAGATGCATTGTTTTACAAAAGCAGCCTCTAAAAAGAGCACTGCGTATTATGAAAAGAATAGAAGGGAAAAGGCAACTAGCATCTTGCCATTACTACAGAAGCTGTTTGACCTAACGATTCTTTGAAATGGTCTCAGGCTTGTCTAGGTTCTATAGCCTTGACAAAGCCCTGATGCCTGGGCTGGAAGCCATCTGAGGGAGGGGCCAAGGTGGGGTTTGGGGTTTCTGCATGACTGCTTTCACTACTCAAATCCCCATCATCAAGGGAGCAGGCCTTTACATTCTGAAGAAGGAAGAACTGTCCGAGGGCCTTTGAAGGAGGGGAGGGATCTGAGAAAGCAGGATTCCAGACAGCCACCATAAGCAAGAGGGGTCTAGTCCTGGGGCAGATGTGAGAAGAGGGGCACATCACAGCTCTCTGCAGCCAAGTACATGCCAACACCCTCTGCCCCAGGGATCAGGAAAATGGAGAAAGAACTCGCAACTGAGTATCAAATTTACTCAAGGTTAAGTCCCCAGACAACTGCAATTGTGGTCACAGGATCTGAATCCGAACCAAGTTTTATTCTTTCCTTTGTCACAGGTTACTTCACTTGATTTCCCCCTTCCTTAATATTCCGGATTATTTCAATTCTGGCTTTTATTTTAAAAGAAAAGTTCAAATGAACAAACAAATCCAGCGGCAGAACAGAGTACCTTGCGGAGTTTAACACCTAAGAGAAGCTAATTAAGCAGAGTAAGCTATAGAATAAAAGCACGGGGATAGAATTTCGCTCATCCTTTTGCTCAACCCAAAGAGTAAAGAGTCTTTTATTTTGATGGCCACAACAGCTTTAGTGAACTAGAGCGATCCGAACCTACCAGAAAGAATGAGAGTAAACCATTCAGCCAACCCCAGTGACCAGAGGGAGGGAGGGAGCGCGGGGAGTTTGCAAATCCCCTTACTCACCGAAATGGGGCCTTTTGTGCAATTTCCTGTGGAGGCAGCAGTCAGAGCTTCTATATATACCGCGCTTCCCCCACCCTGTCCCACACAGCATACAGAGACCGTCCCCTGATTCCTCTCTCCACCATGGCAAAGGTAAGTCCTGGAAACTTGGGGCTCAACCTTTGCCCCCAGGCAGCATCCTTAATGGAGACAAATCACTCATTCTCCCACGCCCTGCCTTGCAGATCACCTTCTACGAGGACCGCGGCTTCCAGGGCCGCTGCTACCAGTGCAGCAGCGACTGCCCCAACCTGCAGCCCTACTTCAGCCGCTGCAACTCCATCCGCGTGGACAGCGGCTGCTGGATGCTCTATGAGCAGCCCAACTACCAGGGCCACCAGTACTTCCTGCGGCGGGGCGAGTACCCCGACTACCAGCAGTGGATGGGCCTCAGCGACTCGGTCCGCTCCTGCCGCCTCATCCCGCAAGTGAGTGTGGCTCTGAAGCCTGTCACTCCGGGAATGAAAGCTGTTTGAAATCATCATCTTAAACCAAATGGTCCCACCTAGAGAGCAGAAAGGGGAAGCGGCTCCTAGAGCAAGTGGTTCATTCTAAAGCTAGCTCAGATTTACCACATTGGACATGAATTCCACGGGATTGGATTTTATTTTTCAATTAAGTTTTACATAATAAAATATTTAAAAATCAAAGACTAAAAAGAAAGCAAGACATAGAGGCACTGTATTTGCCATCTCTTAAAGATATGATTACTTTAAGTGTTTATGGAGGTCTGTTTCCAGTCAGAAATCCAATATACCAAAATCGATAAATACACTGTGGGACTGGCTAATTGCTTAAAAAAAGATTTCATCTTCCCTTGCCTTACTTATCTACTGGATTCTTTCTCCTAGAAAAACTAGACTCCTAGCTTCTAGTTCAAATTTTGCAGTCCATACCTGTTTGGTAGTTTAGCGTGTAAGTTGGAGGAAAAGGCCAAATCCAAAGCTGATGTTGGAGAGTCACTATTTTCTGGGGAGTGACGGAGAGCAGACTCAGAAGAGCAGAGTGAGCAGCAGATAACCAGACAGGGGGCTGCAGAGTCAACCAGTAGGTGTTAGAGCAAATCAGGCTTAGCTTTCCTATCATTCTCACCATAGTTTTCAAATAACAAGCACTAAATTGATATGACCAATTTTATTTTAAGCATATCTGAATCCCCAAGAATCAAAGACGGGAATAGACGCTGAGGAGCTGGGAGCTCTGCCCCTGGCTTTGGCCACAAATCATTTCACTCCCTCGTAGTGAACAACTGGCTAGAAAACAGCCCCTGCATTCTGCAACCTGGCCATCCTGGACTCAGAGAACTTTTGGGCAGATGTAATCAGAGAGCTACAGAAATGATCATTTTAGCTGCTATTTTTAAAAAGATTTGTTTGTTTTTATTGAAGTCAGGTATACAGGAGAGACAAAGGCTGATATACAGAAGAGGAGAGACAGAGAGAAAGATCTGAAGATTTGGAGCTGGGCCGATCCGAAGCCATGAGCTCCTTCCTGGTCTCCCACGTGGTTGCAGGGTCCCAAGGTCTTGGGCCATCTTCAACTGCTTTCCTACGCCACAGGCAGGGAGCTGGATGGGAAGCTGGGCAGCCAGGATTAGAACCAGTGCCCTTATGGGATCCTGGAGAGTGCAAGGCAAGTCAAGCTGTGGCCCCTATCTGCTACTTTTAATTCTTTATCTTTCCTTGTCTGTCTTCCACCCAGCACTCTGGCACTTTCAGAATGAGGATCTATGAGCGAGACGACTTCAGAGGGCAAATGTCAGAGATCACGGACGACTGCCTCTCACTTCAGGACCGCTTCCACCTCCATGAGATCCACTCCCTCAACGTGCTGGAGGGCTGCTGGATCCTCTACGAGCTGCCCAGCTACCGGGGCAGGCAGTACCTGCTGCGGCCGGGCGAGTACCGGCGCTTCCTTGACTGGGGGGCCACGAATGCCAAAGCTGGCTCTTTCAGACGAGTCATGGATTTTTACTGAAGTGTTTTCTCCTCCCCCACCCCCCCGTAGGAGATAATAAAGTATGTAGCTTGTGTTTCTGGCAGTAATGGAGTCCTCCTGCCTTTCTGTCTGTTACGCTCCCATAAGCCATCATGGCACTTGGCCAAACATAATAACCTGTATTCAATCCTCATACATTATGTAGAAGATAACATCTCCAATACTAAAAATAGTTCAATTGGGCTACAGCCGTGTGTGGCTATTCTCACAGGATACATTTGTTGGCACGAGATTGATTGGTAGTTATTATTTATTTACCTCATGGTAACTCTGCAGGTTACTTCCATTGTTTTCTTATAGAATTCAAGTGTTAGATGTTGAGGAAAGCATTTCTCAGGGTTTAGACATATAAGGTCCAGAAACAAATGAGCCGGTCCACTCTCACTTCCTGCACTCCTTACCCTAACAGCCACCATCCCTTTTTCCCTAGTTCCATTTCCTACAGCTCATTCCATTATGAGACTTCCAAGTCAAATGTAACTCACTGTCTCTTTACTTGATGCACTTTGAACAAGAATTTAAGAACATTTGCAAAACCTCATGCAGACGGAGATTCTCAACTTCATATCACTTTAATATGGAAGTAAAATATGATTGCAGAAACTAAGAGCATTTGGAAAAGAAGGAGTTGAAATTTTCTGAAGCGGTCTGTTTGGCTATTTATTAAAATGGATTAAGTTTACCAATAAAATATGCACTACAATAAATCAGAGATAAGTGGATAAAGAAATCGGGTCAGAGGAAAATCGAGAGTAGGAGGAGTAAGCCAGGAGCAAAGTTCAAATCCAAAGTTGTGTGCTGCATGGTGCTGTGTTGGCTCTAGATACAGGTTCAGATCCAAAATCCCAGGCAAAGCTGCCAGGCCAGTTCCATGACTCAGAGCCTAGATGATAAGGCAATTATTTATCAGGGCAAATTCATCTATCTCCAGCACTAAAACCTAAAGGAACATTTTCCTGTTTAAAGAGAGTATTGAGTAAACAACCTCCTTCAAAGTATAAATAAACACTGTTTGTGGGGCTGTTTCTTGCAAAGTTAATCAAAATTCATCCAAAGAACCCCACTGAGACTCTAGTGAACTGGCTCATCCATCCTTACACAGAATGGGAATCTGTGGACCCACTTCCGTCAGTACATCTCTCCAAACTCTGGAGAAGAAGTGAGTGGGCCATGCTTCTCTCAGTTTTCTCTGAACTTGCAACTCCTCACTGGCTTGCTCCTCCAGCCACGTGGACTTCCCCTGCTGTACGCCACACTGACTCAGGCAGGCAGCAGAGCTTCTTTCCCCACAAACCATCCCTCATGTACGGCTGCGTTGACTACAGTGCACCAGCCGATAGATGCAACTTTATATAGCAATAGTCCCATGATATCAAATTTAATATTATACGGTCTACTGGCTCCACCCTGCTGCTGAGTAACCTGTTTTCTATTCTTTTCTTGCTCCGCTCCTCTCAATGCTTACCCATACCTATGGGCTATCTTCAGCACTATGGGCTAGTCTTTTAAAAATATATTTATTAATGTGAAAGGCAGAGAGAAAGAGAGATCTTCCATCCCCTGGTTCACTCCTTCAAATGGCTGCAACAGCCAAGACTGGCCCAAGCTGACGCTAACAACTCCATGCAGGTCTCTCACATGCATGACACTGGCCCAAACACACAGTCATCGTCTGTTGCTTTCCCAGGTTATGGTAGCAGGAAGCTGGATCAAAAAAGCACAGGAACCAAGAATTTGAAACAGCACCCAACATGGGATGCTAACATCACAAGCCAAGGCTTAACTCACTGCACTCTATGTGTCCCCTGTTCATGTTTTTACAACTTCCTTCTAGCCCATTTCCTTAAGAGAGGCAATGCAACAGCCAAATGTCTTATAAACAGAGTAAGCATATAATTTGTTGTTCAAACCTGTTCATATTTGCAGTAAACAGAGTTATTAAAGTGTCCATAGATAATTATAAAAGTTGTTAGATAAGTACTGGGACCTCAGGGAATTGCATGGGAGGAGGAATATCCCATGATATTCTCTGTTGACATGTATCAACAATTTGAGATACCCAGCAATATATACACTTTAGACAGCCTACATTCACCCTATTTCCTGCCTATCCCAATTTGTAATACTAAGCCTAGATTTGAATCTTTTTTGTTTAATCTCCTCATTTCGCCCCTTGAATTGATGCTTTCTTCTTGTCTAATCTTATAAAAGGCCCACCAAGCAAAGAAGTATGGTGGCTACTGAAGAGCACTGAGAACTCTGTTGAGTTCTGCTCCCAAAGTTTCACTTCATCATGAGATCTCACAGCCTTTCTTCATTGTTCCTGCCCTTCCATGGGCTAGGTCCTGATGTTGGTTTGTGTTCTATCTCTTCGACCCTGCCCTTTTCCCGTCCCCACCCCCGGCCAATCGCCACCCCTTAGGAATTCAAGTTTTCTTTGTGTGTTTGTTAAAGTAAAAGTGACGATCGCAAGCACCTGTTCTTAAACAGGAAGAAACACATTGTCATGGTTTCTCCCCAGAGCAGCAGTACAGGTCAAGAGTGTGTCAGTGAGCACTGCCTGCCTGCTGGTCACTGGTTGTTAAGCAAGAGGAGCAGAGGCTGGCACTGTGACATTGACCCCTGGTCGCTTACACGGTGTCTTTGTGACACTTTAGTCTATGTGGTTAGCACCCAAATGACCTCTGTTTGCTAAGTGAAGCATGATTATATTGCAAACATGAACTTGTCATCTTAGAACACATAAAAATTAGAATTCTGAAGTAGCGAGAGTTTAGAGGACAACACAAAATTCTGTTTTGTTCCTTTTGCTGATTCATCTCCACTATTACATAGGCCTGTTAAACAGGTTGAGCGCCGAGTGCTTGTGTACCCTACTTACTGCGATGCTGGAGTTTGAAGTGTGCATGCATGCTGTGTGTGCTGAGCATTTGCATAGAGCTGTTGCAACAATGACTTTCAGACTGGAGGGCAGCAGTCATTCATTCCCCAGGTATTTGCAAATACATTTTTTGTGATAGCTCATTTTGCCAATTAGTAAGAATATAAAAATACAGATATGCAAGTTTCTGCCCTTGTGGAGCTCTGCTCATCCATTCTGGGACTGATAGGAGATGAAATAATTAGATAAATGACAATTAACATGATGCTAATGAGTCAGAATTCGATTCAGCTCGGAAGATTAGAAAGGGTTCCAAAAAATCTCTGCAAAGAAACTGATGCTTGAGCTGAGCTCTGAAAAAAGCAAAAAATAGAGAACTGATATCTCAGTGTTGGAAATGAAGGCAGGGTGAAAATAACATGGTGTACCTGGGAAACGGCAAGAGGCTCCGTGTGACAGGACTTTCAGTCTGGGGGGAGATGGGGGATCAGGTCTGGGTTGCCAGCATACAGAATCAGTGCTTAATCCCAGAGGCAAGGAAGGAGAGTCTAGGGAGGGTTTCAAGCAAGTGAGCAGCAAGATGACACTTCTGATGTTTCAATTTTCATGACTCTAGCATGCTGGCTGAGTGCAGGAAGGGAGAGGAAAGACTCGGAAGACTTGGGAAGCTGTTTGGAGTTCAGTAGAGATACGAGTTTACTTAAAAGACAGCTTCTTGGACAATGTGGTAGTGAGGCCAAGAAATAGGAGAATTTGTAAGTAAATGGCCCTAACTGGAAATCATGATGTTCAATGAAACAAGCCAGTGCCAAGAGGACAAATATCATATGCTCTCTCTGATAGAAGACAGACTTCATGAAAAATACAAAAAGAATAGATATGTAGGTAAACAAGTGTCTACACATATTCTCATAGATGAACTGTGGAACCGAGACTAGCATACCAGGAAGTAAAGATATGTTGCAGCAGGCATTTCTACTCCCAAATAAAAGTACGACTCTCAATGTGTCAGTTAAATATAGTTTGACAATATGATATCGCAATTTGCTACCTTTGCCTAAACCTACAATGCGATGATACACTTAAATTGCAGAATGTTAAACCCGTAACTTACTAAAGAACTGGTACTAACGTGATAGAACACAGGAAAATGGGGAAGCAGGAAGAGGACTGGAAGGGAGAATCCCTACACCTACAGAACTATTTCATGAAGAAGAAGAATAACAATATTTTTTAAAGACAAAGAAAGTCATTTTCCAGCAGAGAGAGACAAGTAGTATAAATTTCTTTAGAAAAAAAAGGAAAAAGGAGGAGGAGAAAGACGTGAGAGGATATGGGAGAAAGCCAAGAACGTGCCATTCTGAGAAGCCTAAAGTTCTGTAACGTGTTTTCTGGCCCTTTAAGGTTTTTTCTGTTGTACTCAGCTCTGTTGGGTAAGTGCTTGTATTGTTGCATTGCGTCTCTCATTGGATGCTTCTGAAACTGTAAAAGGAGCATTAATTCTAGAAGACAGAATTTCTGCCTACATGTTTGTGGAGGATATTCGGGCAGTGGCTAATAAAGCTTGACTCGGACAGACTGAAATACCTATTTCTTAACTAAAATGAAAAAAAAGGAGTGAGGATTTTGGTCGAACGATTAAGTTTCCAAGCATCACAAATCAGTACTGGGGTTCAATTCTCAATTCTGACTCTTGATTCCAGCTTCCTGCTAACATGGACCCTGAGAAGCAAGCTGTTGGGTTCCCATTTCCCACACTGGGAGGGCACGATTGAGTTCGCAGCTCCCGGCAAGCCTGGCCCAACCCTGGCTATTGGACACATTTGCGACATGAAACAATGGATGGGAGTATTTACTCTCTTTCTATCTGTCTTTCTACCTCCCTCTCTCAAATGAATACATTTTTTAAAAGGAATAAACCATAGTGGTATTTTTTTTCCAAGTTTGGTCCAAGAATTATTTGGTACTCATTAGAAATCTAACTTTGAAGGATCTTCTGATCTAATACAGAATCGCGGACGGTAATTTGTATTTTACCAAGCAAAGTGATTCTTCTTTGAAGAGACTTATTTTATTTTGTTTGAAAGGCAGAGTAACATAGAGAGAAGAAAGGAGAGAGAGAGAGATCTTCCTTCAGCTAGTTCACTCCCCAGATGGCTACAGTCCTGGAGCTGAGTTGATCTGAAGCCAGCAGCCAGGAACTTCTTCAAGGTCTCCCACAAGGTTGCTTGGCCCAAGCACTTGAGTCTTCCTCTGCTGCTTTTCCTGGCCCTAAGAAAGGAGTTGGACTGCAAGTGCAGCAGCCAGACACCAAGGAATCCCATTTGGGCTGCCAGTGCTGCAGGAGGATTAACATGTCACACCACCGTGTCGGCTTTGCAAAGCACGGCAGACCTCAAAAAACACCAGATGAGTTCTACAGCACTCTCCAAGGCTGACATTGTTTTTAATCCACAGAATTCTTCTCCAGGAATTTTTGAAAACATTGAATGTCTGAGAGTGACAGACATGATGAAATCTTCACCCATAAAGTCACTCTATTATTACTATCTAACTTTTATCCAGTCTTTATTTGTCCCAAGTACGTGCCAAATATATCATGTATGTAACCTCATTTATTCATATCAATGTCCTTTAGTGCTAAACTGCTGGAAACACACTTGATAAGTTGGGGTTTTTACTCACATAACAAGGGAAAATAAGCACCAGAGGGAACTTGGAATGGCTCAGTCCAAGTGTGAAAAAGAGTGCATGAGGTATTGGTTAAGGTGTCACTTGGGACGCTCACACCCACATGCGAGTGCGTGGATTCTTGGCTCCACAAACGCCCCTTGATAGTTCAGGCAGTGAGGTCCCTGCTGTCCAAACGGAACTGGCATTGAACTCCAGTTCCCAGTTTTGTCATAGTCCAACACCAATTTTTTCATGTATTTAAAGTAGAATAGGAAATAGTGGGCAGTTTCTCTTTTAATTTCTGAAATAAAGAAAACAAATACATTTATTTTTCATAAGAGCGGGAGATGCTGTGATAGAATTTTGCTTTGGGGAAAAATGTAAAAAGTAGACAAAAGCAATGTCTACTTCTTCTCCAAAGCAAGATTAATTTTATGATTGATTATCTCACTAAATCTTACCCATAGGGAGAATTAAGCTGTAATTGGTAAAGAAATAATCAGAAATAATTCTGTATGAGAGAGATAGTTGCTGGTGTTTTGTGGGTATTTTGTTGACCTGCCCCTCCCCACCCTTGTGCTTAGGCAGATTAATAAAGTGGCCTTATTTATTTCATTTCATCCTGGTCTCAGAGTAACCCTGACACAAGTTGGAATATGGCTTACATCTACTCGAATACAAATATGTCCCAGCTTGAGTGCCAGGCTGCTTCCACTGTCTTTCTCACTCGTCACATGTTTCTTGCGAGACAGCTCATGCTCTGGAGGTGACAGTGCCTCCTACCTCCAGGCAGCCATCTGTAGACCTCCCCAGCCCAGGCAGTCTGTATCAAAGCCAAGCTTGATAACCTCTCCATCCCTGGCAAAGCAACAACCAATAGAGCTACACACTTCCCTGTCACGAGCCCAAGCTATAGGAAGCCTTGCCTTGGTTCTTATCACTACTTGACTCCCAGGGGCTGACATCCGGGTACCTGAAGTGCACCTGTCAAAGCGAGAAGAGAGGCAGGGAGATGAATGATTGTGTTTTCCTGGATTGGATCAGTGAACTCAAACCTTGCCTAGATCAGAGACTAGATTGATGTTCTGCATTGAACTGGTAAATTGTGTGAAGAAAAACACTAAAGATGGCCAGCTCCGTGTCTTCCCAGGAAAAATAGGGTGTACAACATTCTGCTCTCCAACAGCCTAACGGAACTCAGGGGCACTTGGCAAAGCCGCAACTTTCCCCAGACAATCCATGGCATTTCATTAAATCATACTACGTATGGAGACACAAATTTCAGGTCACAAGTTCAGACCGGTGTGCTGAGAAATTTTAAAAACACGAAGAATCAAAATAAAAGAGCAGCAGATAGAGGCCAGCGTGAGAATATGCCAGAGAATGAGGGCAAACTCTGCAGTCGCTTCCGGTGAATGCAGCATGTAAAAGGGATACATAAAATGCCCTTACTCACCCCCGCGGGCCCCTTTTGTATTGTTCCTGCAAACGCAGCAGCCGTCCTGCTATATAGATACGCTGCGCCACCCGTCACACACACTCAGCCTGTATCAACTGAGTCACCCAGCCATGGGGAAGGTGAGCAGAGCACACGTTTCATAAAAAGGACCTAGAGCCTTAGGCAAGGCCTGCAGGGAAGCTAACGATTTCATTTGGAATTATTCTTCCCTTGCAGATCACCTTCTACGAGGACCGCGGCTTCCAGGGCCGCTGCTACCAGTGCAGCAGCGACTGCCCCAACCTGCAGCCCTACTTCAGCCGCTGCAACTCGGTGCGCGTGGACAGCGGCTGCTGGATGCTCTATGAGCAGCCCAACTACCAGGGCCACCAGTACTTCCTGCGGCGGGGCGAGTACCCCGACTACCAGCAGTGGATGGGCCTCAGCGACTCGGTCCGCTCCTGCCGCCTCATCCCGCACGTGAGTTCTGCTAGGTTTGACTCAAAAGCTGCTTGTAGGGTTCTGAGTTATTGATGTGAGTCAAGGCTGTTTGCTTTATAAACAACCAAGGATGTACGTAGGCTTTTGACATCTGCTAATGACGCAGAATCCAAGGAAGAACCCCTTTGCAGGAACAGTTTTACGTTTTGTTTTTAAGATAATCAAACGTTGCTTGTAATCAATGTAATCGCATAATAAGATTTAAAACAAAACTTGCAATTGGGAAGCTGATTAGGCACAGCTAGCTATTTAGACATTTATGACAAGTTCAATTCATCTTCAACTGTTTTAAAGAAATTTCTAATGACTTAATTAGATTCTACTGTGGAATATTAAGGACTGAAAACTCCTGTTCATACAGCCTACTCAAATTTGCCTTTACTTGGGAAATCAATTGAATCCTGATTCCAAGCAATTATTTAAACAATTTTCCCTGTGGTGTGGAAGTTCAAAACTCCTACTGTAACGATAAATTTACATGAATATAAGTAAATTTTGGAGACAGTCTTCTTAAAACACAAATCAAGATAAATTACTTATATATTTTCCAAAACAATAAAAATTTAAGTTAACATAGGGAGTTAGGAATCAAGGTACTTGAGTTGCCGATAAATTCTAACTCAAAGTTTGGACCTCTTAAAAATCCCATCTCTTCGCTAAGAAACAGCAAACAAGTGTGCAAGACTTTGTCAAATGCTAGCATTTATCAAAGGTGCAGCATTCTCAGCCATTTCAGAGTCATGATTTTTACATGGGAAATCCACGCCCCCATCTACCAGGTTCATCACTGCTTGATTGGTTGAATTTGCCAAGAGGCTTACTTGCTTTTCTGAATTCTTTTGTGTGTGTGTGTGTACCGAGTAGACAAGCTCCCACCGGATGCGGCTCTATGAGAGAGATGACCACAAAGGCCTCATGATGGAGCTGAGCGAGGACTGCTCCTGCATTCAAGACCGCTTCCACATCAGTGAAGTGCGTTCCCTCCACGTGCTGGAGGGCTGCTGGATCCTCTATGAGTTGCCCAACTACCGCGGCAGGCAGTACCTGCTGAGGCCCCGGGAGTACAGACGCTACCTCGACTGGGGGGCTGTGGATGCTAAAGCAGGCTCTCTGCGGAGGGTGGTGGATTTATACTAAAATGGATGAACGTTGCCAATTTCTCGCTTTGGAACCTAATAAAATACTTAGTCTGTATTGTTGGCAATTACTGACTTCCAGTTTTATTGGCTTTTGTGCGAGTTATTTCGTGTGTAAATGCTCCATGCTACAGATTGTGAAGGGTTTGGGGGCACAGATGCTGTGGATGCCAGGACATCAGGGCATCGTGAGTGTGAGCAAGGCTCCGAGGTCAGACAGGAGGGGGGACAGAGCCTGGAAGACAGGCCAACTAAAGAGTGTTGATGGTGACGTGGAAAGTAGGTGGAGGCCAGAGAAAGTAAAGTCACACGAGTAATGAAGGCAAGGCAAACATCCTGATTAAACTCCATTAGAAAATTAAGTTTTGGGCCCCCCCCCCCCGGTGGCGTGGCCTAGTGGCTAAGGTCTTTGCCTTGAATGTGCTGGGATCCCCTATGGTCGCCGGTTCTAATCCTGGCAGCTCCACTTCCTCTCTATCTCTCCTCCTCTCTGTATATCTGACTTTGTAAAAAGAAAAAAAAAAAACTTAAAAAAAAAGAAAATGAAGTTTTGTTGACCTTTAAGAACAGTGTTGAGGAACCAATGCCAGGCTATTATTGGCCCATCACCGTGTTTTTGCACAAAGTTAGCTTTTTAGGCAGTACAGTGCTGTGTAAAATACAGGAACTGCACAGCTATACACAGCATCCAGAGAGTGAAGATATATCCCTAAGAGAGATGCCTCAATACTGTAAATAAATTTACATATGATATAACCTACAACAAAAGTCCTGTAAGGCTCAAATTTAAAGGCACCTTGAAGAAAGCAGAAGTTTCTAGATAGAGCTCCTTGGTTGACTTACTCACAAATGTAGCTCTGCAAATTTGAAGAAAAAAAAAAAAAGAAAGAAAAATCCAAGCAAGTATCTGGAAATCTATGTTTTCATTCGAAACCTCTATCCAAAGTAAAAGCTACCCATGGGCCCAGTGCAGTAGCCTAGTGGCTAAAGCACTTGCCTTGCAGCTGCCAGGATCCCCTATAGACGCCAGTTCATGTTTCAGCAGCTTCACTCTCCATCCAGCTCCCTGCTTGTGGCCTGGGTAAGCAGTAGGGGACAGCCCAAAGCCTTGCGACCCTCATCCATATGAGGGACCCAGAAGAAGCTCTTGGCTCCTGGCTTCAGATCAGCCTAACTCCGGCCATAATGACCACCTGGGAAGTGAATCAGCAGATGGAAAATCGTTTTCTCTGTCTCTCCTTTTCTCTGTGAATCTGACTTTCCAATACATTTAAAAAAAAAAAAAAGCTACCCATAATCCTGCTACCTAGTACGTCTCACACAGTCAATAGAGAGGTCCTCTGGCACTCATTTTTGCTAACCCTGTTTAGATCTGATGGATACCCTTCTGGGACTGTACTCTTTAGCTCCACCCCTATATCATGAAACACTATTTTTTTTTTTTTTTTGCAAATATGGAATCATGGCGTATATACTGCTGAAACTTGCTTTCAAAATGCAATATAGCAGTGTACATTTGGCTTGGCACTTGTGCTTCGGCTTGGACGCCTGCATACCCATTTCCTGCTAGTGTACACTCTGGGGCATAGTAGTGGATAGCTCAACGTGGGTCAGAGTCCTGGCTCTCGGCTTTAGCCTGGCCAGGTTAGAGCCATTGATGGTGTTTGTGGATTGAGCCAATAAGAGCGAATAGTCTGTCTCTATCTTTCTCTTTGTGTCCCTCTGTCTCTGAAATAAGTAAAGAAAGTAAATATAAAACTAAAATAGGAGGGAGAGAAGTTGACATAGCAGTTGAGATGCCTCTTGGGATCCCTGCATGCTGTACCAGATCACTCCTGTTACAGCCCCTGCTTTGTGTCCAATGCCAACTTCCTGCTGGTGTGCACCATGCGAGGCAGCAGATGATGGCTCAAATATTTGGTTCCTGTCACACATCTCATGGACTGGAGTTGAATTCTAGGTTTCTGACTACAGCTTGGCCTGGCCCTGACCACTGTGGGCATTTGGGAAAAGAATCAGTAATGAAAGATCTCTGTTAGTCTGTCTCCTTACCTCTAGCTGTCTCTCACTCTTTATCTGCCTTGCAACAAATAAAAATTAACTAATTCATTTAAGCAGCGATGCTAAGTTAAAATGTAAGGTAAGATGGACATGTATCTAAGTTCCACACTTTATTCTGTAGAAAGGCTGGGTTGCATCCCATTGTTTGGAGGTATCCTAGATCATTTCACTATTTCCCCATTGATGGCTGAGCTTTTCCATTGTTGCCTTTATAAACAATGCTGCAAGGAATACTGTCATATCTGTACCCTCGGCTTCCTGTGTCACGATTTGAGATCTAGAAGTAAGACTATCTGCTCAGATACAAGTTTATTTTGTATTTTCATAGACTTTGTCTAATTGTTAGCCACTAGATATCCAACTCTCTGAGACATGACCTTTACCATGTACCAAGCGTCTGTTGCAGGCCTGCCATCTGTAGCACTGTGGATGAAAAAATGATCAAAACAAACAGGAGAGCATCAGGTGACGCTGGAGCTGTTGCCTGTGATGCCAGCAGCTCCTAGCAGCAGTATTTCATATCAGAATCCCAACTGCTCTGCTTCTGGTCCAGCTCCCTGCTAACGCACCTGGGTCAGCAATGGAGGATGTCCTGAGCACCTGGTCCCTCCCATCCAGGCAGGAGACCTGGGTGGAGTTTTGACTTTTAACTTCAGCCCGGCCCACTCTGGCTGTTCTCAGGGAATAAGCCAACAGAGGAGAGATTTCTCTCTCTTTCTCTCTCTCTCTCTCTTTCCTTCTCTCTCTCCCTCTTTCTGTCACTCTTCTCTTCAAATAAATAAACTTTTTAAAAACCCAAGAACAAAAAGCAAAAGGTCTGTCCCTACCACCACAAAGCATTACATAAAAATAGCACTAAACAGCAGCACTAGAGAACATAGAAGCACTTAAAATCAAGTCCTTACCAGGTACCAAATCATGCATAAAAGGCTTTCATTTATTGAATGCTTTTATTAAGCAGTTATGACAGTAAAATTAATGACAAATTTTTAGGATTAGAACATAGGGGCATATTTCTTGACATATTTTTCATGTTATGAGTTTTATTGCATAACATTCTGGGAGGGAAAGTGTTTCCCTGGCACAATATACATAGTTAACACTTCCCCACACATCTTAGCTTCCTGAAAAACTTGCTATTTCTGTTTAGGCACATTTCCAATCAAAACAGTTCCCTGTTTTGCTAGTTGGAAAGCATCTATTGATGGACTGTACCGCTGGAGCAGGCACTTTCTGCTTTTGAACCTTTGCCTGGGACGGGAGGCCCAGAGGGAACTGGTCACAGCTTCCCTGGAACGTCCACCTCCTGCTGACGGTACTTTGGTCTCCTCACTTCTCTTACTAGGTTTGGGGTACCAGTGAAGTGAGCTCTCCCATGCCCATTCCGCTCACTGGGGGGGAAATTTAACCTTGATCCAGAGAAACCTGTTGTGTGTTCTGAGAGTGCTTGATAATTACATGTAAATCTTCCAAGGAAAAAAAATTTCTAAATATACTACTACAAATATCTTGTAAATGACTTATTTTCTCTCTATCACACAAAATCACAAGCTTGCAACCCAATGTGAAATGGCCTTTTCCAAGAGAAAACTGACGAGTCAGGTTACAACCACTTTCTGGATCAGCTCTGTGCCTTTGGCAGTGAATCATACAGCTCTAGCAAAGAGTTCTGAAAACGATAAAGATTGGTAACAGCCACTGAGGGTGGTGGCAGACAAGGATGTGCATGCTTGAATGACATTACTTGATTTAAAGTGAAAATATCTGGGGCTAGCATTGTGCTGCAGCAAGTGAAGCTACTGTTGGCAATGCCAGCCCCTGCATGGGCACGCTTGGTGTCCCTGCTATCCCACTTCCAGGCCAATTCCCTGTTAGTTTGCCTAAGAAAAAGCAGTGGAAAACACTTGAGCCCCTGTCACCCAAATGAAATTCCAAGCTCCTGGCTTTGCCCTGCCCAGTCCCAACTTCTGTGGCCATTTGAGGAGGAAAGCAGAGGATGCAATAGTTCTCTCTCTGTGTGTGTCTCTCTCCCTTACTCTGCCTCTCCCTCTTTCTGTAATGGTCTTTCAAATAAATAAATAACTCTTTAATTCCTTAAATAAAGTTAGAATATGTGACATGAGAAGAATATGACAATTTTGAACAGTATCAGCTATATTGATGAAACACATTATCTCAAAGGCAAAAAAAAATAGCTCAATCAATTCATCATTATGTATTTTGGACAAAGTAAGCTTGTTATTTACAATATCTGTGGAAAAAAAATACACTAATGGTTCGTTAGCTTAACACACTCAGGTTTTCACAGCTAGTAAGAGACAAGAGTGGGAATCAAGCTTGTGTTTGTCACATGTCCCTAACTGCTATGTTGATCCCAACATGTGGAGTCCTGAGAAGGAAAATTGTCTGAAGCATTATGACAAACAGAACACACCCCTCCCCCCCATGCTCACCATTGTTTTCTCCTTCTTTCAATCAGCTGGGCCTTAAATATCTTCGATTTCCCTTGCTAATTTTGTTTACATAAGGGCTAACACAACACTTCCAATTTTCATTTTGCCAAGCAAAAGCATTTATAAAATAAAAACCAAGCAAGAGGGTACATGCATGGCACAGCAGTTAAGTCCCTGCTTGGGACACTTGCAAGCCCTGTATGAGTGCCTGGTTCAAGTCCCAGCTATTTGGCTTCAGACTCCAGTGCTCGGGTCCCTGCCACCCACAGGGGAGCCTGGATAGCATTCCATGCTCCTGGCTTCAGCCTGACTTTGTCCTGGCCCTGGAAGGCCTTTGGGACGTGAGTCAGCATATGCAAGATTGATCTCTCTTTCAAATAAATAAAAATAAATAAAAATCTTCAAAATTAAAAGCCAATCAGCATGTTTTCTTACATCATTTTATGATAAGAAAATGTATTTACCAAAGGACATTTTAATCCTTCAAAATAAAATACTTCCTAATGAAGTGTGATTCAGAGCAAGAAAGACAATTAGCAACTTGATCTATAGCATTTCCAGTCAACAGTGGAAGAATTTAGAAACTCTCCTTGGGGTTAGCAGCCAATGCCTGTAGGCACTGAAGAGATGACGTGATATCCTATAAAGTTTCCCCGAGTTCTCATCTCCCTAAGCCATCAGTGTGTATTATCAGGGGCTCTGACTGTGGCTTCTTTCTTGTGGTGCATCTACCAACACTTTCTCCCACAGAACCCTGCTCTCCAAAACAGCTCTGGGCAAAACAACGATGACTCTAAACATTCCTCCACCGTCCTTTTGATGTCTCCCTCCCTCCTTTTCCAGAGGCACCCCTCCTCCTGGCTTCCGGCTTCTCTCCAGAGCTGCTTTCCGCTACCCTCTCCCTTCCCTGCGCACCTGGTCCCTTTGCAAATAAACTTTTCTGTCTGAAAAAATAAATGCATCCATCATTTAATTTTTTTAATGAGAATAAATATTTCTATTTTTCAGTTCTAGCAGCTCATTTTCCACTAAACATAAGTGAATTTGCAAACACATGACTTTCCATGGTGAAAGCAAGGTAACAAGAAGCCAGAAAATAGAGGAATAGAAGTCACCTTAATGTACATAATTTGAGTTTAATTCATAAAAACTTAGTAAGAGTCAGGAGTCCTTCCCTGGGTCAACACAGGACTGTGAATAACTCTTTGAGCATGAAAGAGGTTAGACACATGGGTCATTTTCCACACCAGTGCTCTTTCCAGCCCGTCAAACTGTTCTCTTCCAGGCCAATAAATGCTTTCTAAAGTCTTCCTAGAGGCTCAGCATTCAGATATGTATTCCTTCCTCTCCCTACACCATTCCAGCCATAGCTTCTCTTTGTGTCCGTACAATTGATTTCCTCTGAGTCAAAGGCTTTGTGTAGCCCTGTCCACCAAAGAACAACATCAGATTCTAGAGTCCACCAGAAGTGCAATTCCTATGAGCCTGATTTTCTGTTATACCAAGTTTAAAGAGAATCTGGTGTACCAGCCTAAATGTACTAATGTGCCCTGTGGTCTCACTTTGCCCCGGAATTCATCTTTCTAAAAGGAAGGATCCTAAAGCCAGTCTCCCTAGGGAACCATAGAACCACAATGAGGTAAGAAAAAATTCTTAATTCTCAATCTTCTTCCAAATAGGATAGCAATTAAGTCCGACTCGGTGCTTGGAATGTCCCGTTTGCTTTTTCTCTCACTCTGGAAGTTTAACATCCTGTAGACTCCCTTGCCAGAACATCCCAGCTTCTTACACACTTCAGTGATAAAGTTCTCCAAAAATTCTGACATTCGGTTAAATCATCTCTTCCTGCTGACAGTGTGGGGGTAGATAGGTAACATCAATCTGTATTTGCCCTAAAGGACTATGCATTTGTCTATTTTTTTTAACTCCTCGCTTACAGTTCTTTGTTCCCTCCCCCTAACCTACACAAACAAAAGTGTGAACTATATAGGAAATGGCTGAAGCATTGCTTCCATTATTAAACAGACAATGTCCCAAATTACTGTTTTTCAAACAATCTCAATAGCATCCATCAGTGAGAACAACTCGAATACTCCAGAAAGAATGGGACCAAAACCCACAATGAGCCCCGTGGACTCTGACAGCAATGGGAAAAAAAGAGAACACGAAAAGCCCTTGCCCCGCGCGGGCCCCTTTTGTGTGTTTCCTGCCAACGCAGCAGCGCTCCCGCTATATAGACCCGCTGCGCCGCCCGCCGCACGCACTCAACTCGCATCCTCCGGGTCGACCAGCCATGGGGAAGGTGAGCCCAGCGCCCGCCCAGGGCCCCGGCACGCGGCCCGGCACACGGGGGTCGGGGCCCGCCGCAGGCCCTTGAGCCCGCGCCTCCCCGCGCCTCATCTGGCCTCGCCTTGCCCTGCCTTGCAGATCACCTTCTACGAGGACCGCGGCTTCCAGGGCCGCCACTACGAGTGCAGCAGCGACCACTCCAACCTGCAGCCCTACTTCAGCCGCTGCAACTCGGTGCGCGTGGACAGCGGCTGCTGGATGCTCTATGAGCAGCCCAACTACTTGGGCTGCCAGTACTTCCTGCGGCGGGGCGAGTACCCCGACTACCAGCAGTGGATGGGCCTCAGCGACTCGGTCCGCTCCTGCCGCCTCATTCCACACGTGAGTCCACACCAAACCTCCCTAGGCAAGGTTATGTATTTGGGGCAGTGACCCCTAGCCTGAGTGATCAGGACTGGGCAGCAGAACCGCAAGTGCCCAGTTGGGTGGGCGTGATACTTTATCTCCCACAAAAGCAAAGTGCTATGTCCATCAGGGATGGTGGCATGAGAGACCAAAGTACTGTTGTGCAATCATTGAGAATGGAGTTACAGAAAATCCAGCACTAAGAGACGAATTAACAGGGTAGTTAGGGTACACAGGGCTAACAGTAGTTAGGGTAACAGATATAAGACGTGCGCGTGCGCGCACACACACACACACACACACACACACACACACAATTAGTCTATGGGGTAGACAGAGTGGTTTTATGCACATACAGTATGATTTTGTTTCATCATTTTTGCTCCCCTTTTGCATATTTTGATTTTTCTCCAAATGATACAAATAGTATTTTCTGTCAATGAGAGCAGTACATTTTACGCACATAGCACATACATTTCAAAAAACATGAAGGTTTCTGAAAAGTTTGCCCTTGAATTCGCTGATTTCTCATTCCCATTTTTTTCATAAATTACTGACAGATTTTTCTGAGATTTAAGACCCTTACTTTTTTTACTATGTTCAAAACCATGGCATTTTAAATGTGTTTTTTAACGTACATGTTTTAATATTAACCCATTTCTACAAAATGGCAGACATGAGTAATAAACGCTTCAAAATTCGATGCAGGGTCCTGAGCTGGTGCGGACTTCGTCCTTGGAAACATCTGCGTAATTTACAAAGCAGGTTTTCTCTGTCCATTCATTCTGTCATTATGCGCCTCACACGGCATGGTCTCTCTGCCTTGGGCAATGGGTTGGTGAATAGTCAGAATTTTGCAAAGGGCTGCATGGCATTCATGCATTACAATTACGTCACAGATGGGTTTTTTTCCCCCCTTTCCTGTTCTGTGCCGACCAGGCGGGCTCCCACCGGATCCGACTCTACGAGAGAGAAGATTACAGAGGCCAGATGGTGGAGCTCACCGAGGACTGCCCCTCTCTGCAGGACCGCTTCCATCTCACCGAGATCCACTCGCTCAACGTGCTGGAGGGCTCCTGGGTCCTCTACGAGCTGCCCAACTACAGGGGCAGGCAGTTCCTGCTGAGGCCAGGGGATTACAGGGGCTACCACGACTGGGGGTCCCTGAATGCCAGGGTGGGCTCTTTGAGGAGAGTCATGGATTTCTATTGAAATAGGTTCTCCTTCATCATTTCTCAATCTGGAAACTAATAAAGTTTTTTCTCTGTGTTCCTGGCACTAACTTGGCTCGTGTTGCTCCCTTTGCTAGACTTGGTTTTTTATTGTTTCGCTTACCCAGACACACAATCAAGGTGTGTGATCCACGGGTAATAGAAAATCCTCACACCAGAAACACACCTTCAAAAGTAAATACACCTTAAACAAGGACAGAAGACGCCTTTCTGCAAGCAGAACTTTGCAGTGCGCAAAAACACTTTCACGTCGTGTGTGTCGTTGCATTGGTGGGCCTGTAAACAACTTGCCACAAGCCAGGTTTTGAGAACGCTGCTGGGGCTTCAGTTTTTCCCTGAGGAATGAGGCTGGGGAAGCCGACGCTCAGGGTGCGTAATCCACTTACAGAGTCTGAACCTGGAAGCAGTGAAAGGCTTCTGGAATCTTTCAAACCCCTTCACGATGTACAAACATCAGGGTCACTGATTTCTGTCAGGCACTGACCAGTGAGGGGACGGTGTGACACTGCTCTGATCATTGCGTCATAGCAGCAAGGGGATGCAGGGAGCAGGTGCTCTGGTGCCACAATTCCTTCTCACTTCCATCCTCTTCCCCCAGGAGTGACAAGCACAAGGGAAAGGCCAGGGGCGTTTCAGAGAAGCTGGCTTGTGGGTGAGCCTCTGGACCCTGGCCAACAACCTTTCACCTCCCGACGGTGATGGGAGCACAATAAGCCATGTTGGTTTAAGCCACTAAGCGCTCTTATTTACAGTTCCACCCACATTTCTGGGATCGAGAAAGCTTCAATTGTCCTAAGTGACTGTTGGGAACATGTTTCAGAGTCTCATGGAGATCCCAGATGGAAAGAAAGAAAGAAAGGGAGAAAGCAAAATGAGAGGAACAGGCCGAGGGGAGGAGAAGAAGACGGGAAGGGAGCAGAAAGGGAATAGGGACTAAGAGGAAGAAAAGGAGGGAGGAGGTGTCCGGCAGGCTGGCGAGGAGAGGACAGTTACCAAGGAAGGACGTGGACCTCTTTCTCATCCAGTGAATATTTTTGTAGGAATATGTCCCAAGAAACAAATCCTAAACATGGAACACATTCTATGTACAAAAACTATCCAAATAATATTTATAATTACAAGTAGACATGTCTAATTGTCTAGTAGGAGAGAAATGAGATAAGCTAATGCTTAAGCATTAAATTTGTTTACCAAACACAATAGAATTTTGCAGCAGTTTAATAATGAGTACCTATTGCTCTTTTTGTTCTCTGAGGTAAAATGTGTGTGTCATAAAAATGTGCAGACCTGAAGAAAAATTATTTAAATAAAATAATAAATATTACCCTAATTCTATTCTCAGTGGTAATTAAGCATAGTTGGCAGTTCAGTCCATATAATTTAGACACCTGTATTTTCTTACCTAATTCATAATGATTAGAGCTTTAAAAAAATTATTTACTTGAAATACAGAGTTAGAGAAAGAGGGAAAGAGAGTGTGAGAAAAATCTACCCAGAGGGCTTTTCCCCAAATGCCCACAACAATCAGGCTGTGGCCAAGCTGAAGCCAGGAGAGGAACGTTCCATCTGGGCCCTGACGTGGGGTGCAGGCCTGGGCTGTCCACTGCCTTCCCAGGCACACTGGCAGGAAGCTAGGCAGAAAGCAGAGTCACAGGAAAGGGAAACAGCACTCAGAGATGGGATGCTGGTGTCGCAAATTGAGGCTCCACTGGCTGCTCCACAGGCAGGCCCTGCTAAGAATGCTTATAACCTGTTTTTAAAATTCACATACACATCTTCAGACTTAATAGAATTGAACTCAAAACCCATCAAAATCCCACTTCCTAGGAAGCACCATTCTACTTCCTGTCTTTGTAAATCTGACCACTCCAGTTATCTCAAACAAATGGAATTATTCAGTATTTCAGTAATCCGGTCTGCTTCATTTAATAAATTTTTCAAAATTCCTGTACACGGTGGCATGTCGCAGAATTTCTTTTCTCTTAAGGTTGAGCATTCTAGTATAGATAAAACTTTATCAGTTCTTTTGTCAATGGATGTTTGGATTATTCTGACCTCCTGACTATTGGGAATAATGCTACCACTTATATGGATATCCTACTATCTCTTTTTGAGATCCTACTTTAAATTTTTTGGCTGTATATGTGGAAGTAAAATTGCTGGAGAATATGATCATTTTATGTTTAACTTCCTGGGGTATCCCCATACAGGATGCATCATTTATATCCTCACCAGCAAGACTTAAAGTGTTTTAATGTCTTCATATCCTTGCCAACAACCATTCTTTCCCGGTTTTTCTTTTGGGGGGTGGTTATAGCAGGCATTCTGCTGAGTGTGAAGTGATATCTCATTGTGAATTTCATTTGTAATCATCTAATCATCAGTGACATTAAGAATCTTTCCGTATGCTTACTAACCATTTATACATCGTCTTTGCAAAAATGCTTATGCACGCCTTTGTCAATGCTATCTTGTTCCACTACAGGCAGTCTTTATATAGCCTGGATATTCATTCCTTATCAAATATACAGTTTGCCAATATCTTTTCTAATCCAACAGTCTGTCCCTTTATTTATGATGCCCTTTGATACACAAACGTAATTTTGATGAAGTAATTTACCTGGTTTTTAAAAATGTATTTGTTTACATAAAAATTTTAAAAAGTAAAATTATTTATATTAGAAAAGCAGATTTACAGAGAGGAGAGACAAAAAAAAAAAAAAAAAAAAGATTTTCCATCTGCTGCTTGATCCCTTAAATGACTGCAATGGTTGGAGCTGAGCCTATCCAAAACCAGGAGCCATGAGTTTCTTCTAGGTCTTTCGCACCAGTGCAGGGTCCCAAGGCTTTGGGCCATCCTCAACTGCTTTCCCAGGCCACAAGCAGACAGCTGTATTGTAAATGGAGAACTGGGACACAAATCTGTACCTAGTTGAGACGCCAGTGTTTGCAGGTGGAAGATTAGTCTTTTGAGCCACTGTGCCAACCCTGCAATCTGCCTGTCTTCAGTGTCATGTCCAAAAAGTTATTGCTGTTTAAATGTCAAGTTTTCTCTATTTTTTTTTTCTGGGAGTTTCGTAGTTTTAGATCTTACGTTAAGGTCTTACACTCATTTTAGGTCAGTTTTACATCAGTTTGTGTGTGATATAAGAGCATTGTTCTGTGAGTGGCTATCCAGCGCTCCCAGCACTTATTACTGAAAACGCCGTCTTTTTCCATCAAGTGATGTTGGCAATCTTGTAAAACGCATTTAATGACACACTGAGGCATAGGCATTTGCTGCAGTGGTACAGATGCCCACGTCCTGTAGCCCGTGCCTGGGTTCAAGTCCCTCCTCTGTCCTCCATTCCAGCTGCCATGAAATGTACACTCGGGGTGGCAACTAGTAATGCTTCAAGCACCTGCTACCCTGCCCCCATGTGGGAGACCCTGGTTCAGTTCCTGACTCCTGGCTTTAGTCTGACCCAGCCCAAGCTGCTACTGTAGACATTAGGGGAGTGAGACAATGGATGGGAAATAGTTCTCTTTCTCTACGTTTCCAATAAATAACTTTAAAATCAATGCGTTCCGGGATTTTCTTCAAGACTCTATGTTCTACTGCACTGGCTCATTGTGACTTTGTTATGTCAATATCACACTGCTTTAATCGCTGTGTGTTTGTAGCAAGTTGGAAATCAGGAAGCATGAGTCCTCCAATGTTGTTCTTTATTAAGACTAGAATATTTGTGGTCCCATGAGATTTCATATAAATCTCGCTATGTCTTTATGCTTAGTTTAATAATACTGGGATCTTGAAAGAAATTGCGCTATATCTTTAGATTTCTTTGGTTAAAAACTGACATCTTAACAATCCATGGGCACAGGATATGTTTCCATTCATTTATGTCTTCAATTTCTTTCAGCGGTTTTTTGTAGTTTTTAGTGTACACTATATTTGCTTTGAAGATGTCCACTTAATATTGGGTAGACATGTTTCACACCTTGAAATAAATTAATTCAGAACAGAATTTTAGGTAGCTGCATGTCATCAAACAGATGTTCCATAATTTATGTAAGCAATGCCATAATGTGAACATTTCAATTGTACCTGATTTTCTGTATTACAAACAATGTTCAGACACATACTATCAATCATAACCTGTGTATGTAAGTTTAATGATTTCCTTTGACCAAATTCTTAGAAATGGAAGAATTAAATCACAAGGGCTAGATTTAGAAATTTTAAAATATCAACAGTTCTTTTTATATAGGACTAGAGTTTTAAAGTCTCTCTTTCTACCTACTCATAGTTTCCAGTTTTTTCACAAAACATAATTTTTGAAGGAGATGTGATTCTGCTTGTTCCAATTTTATGAATCACAACGTTTGTTCAAGGAAAACTACTTTTAGCAAAAAGTACTTTTTGCTGCTTTTGGATTTAGGTAGCAAGAACCCAAAGTCAGGGAGGAGACAATGTGCACAAGAGAAGGATTAGCTTCTCCTGAAATTACTCTTCTCAAGGTCAAGAGAAAAGGAGAATTTGCCTCCCACAGGGCATTTGGGTGTCTAACTGGCCAGCTGCACCTAGGTGGCAGACCTTGCCTGCAACCTGTCATGCAGAAGCCAACCCTACGCCCGCCCCATCAGAGGAATTTGGGGCCCAAAATGTCCAGAATGGTGTTGATGGTAACAAATCCTGCTTAAAGGGGACTGGATCATCAGGAGCTCCGAGAAGATGTGGAGGAAAGAGGTAAGACTCCAGCTCCTGGAGTCAGACCTTAACCAGAAGGGTAAAAGGATGCAACTGTGGGATTTGAAAGCAGTTGGTCTGTGAATCGCCTTGCATGTGTCTGCAACTGAAATCACCTGAGCGCAGCCTTAGCCAGACAGCCAGCCAGCAGCAATGGCCCGTGAGCCACTCCCGGCATCCCTAATCTAAGGGTACCAATTCCTGTCTTGTGGGTGGGGCAGAGGTCCTTGATCCACCCAGTCCTCAGAAAGCAAAGCTGAGACCAGGTGCCTGACCAGTGCTTCTTTGAATCCAACCTCCATCATTCTGCCCGGTCTAG